ATCCATTAACTAATTCATAAGATTCCCCGAAAGCTCCTTTTATACAAAATTTACGGTAGACATGCATACTGCAGGTTAAGATTTCACGTGGCCTCATGATGCTACCGCCCCAGCCGATACTCCCCTTTTCTCCCTTCAGGCAAGAAAATGCAAAAAACAAGCCAATTTGAGCGCATATGTTAATCTGTAAAGCAATAACAGTTCATACTGCTAACTTTCTGATTGTTTTAAGTTTAGCGCACAAATACAAGATCGCACCGGAAGCCTTGGTGTGTCGCTAACAGGACTCCTGCTGTGTTGACTTTTGCAATAGTTTTAAAAAACGGAAAACCTGCAAATATCCGAAGACTGGATTGATCATGAAGATGCCCTCGGGATGTGACCACGGTAATATACGATATTGCAGCTGCCCATTGTGATCCATATCTGGATCAATCGCATGCACAGAGCCAATTATGGTACCCAGAGGCATTCCTTCGTGCACAAAATATTTTGTAGGTGAAGTGAACTGTGGAGCATTATCATTCACATCCAGTACTATTATTTTCACGGATGTTGTTGCTTTGAGGGCTAAAAAAGTAAAAAAAAAAAATTTTGAAAACTTTTAAAACGCTCGCAAATGGACAAATATTTCAATTTATTATGCGTTTTTGCATAATGTGCAAAAACACTTATTGTGACGACCCCGGTGTGTGTGTGTCTGTGTGTGCGCGCGTCTGTCCGGGTATTTCAACTCAGCACCCAAGCAAGCTCAGGCGCCAAAATTTTGCGAGTGGGTTCCCCGGCCAAGTGCCACCTCAGGACCGCGGTACTAACCCTCAAGCCCGCCTGGGCCCCGCGTATGAGTGCCTCGAAGTTTTGACGGGAAAATCGCTAACTCAAGAACCAGAAAAGCTAGAAAGCTGAAATTTTGGGATTATGTTTCCAGTTCAAGTAGAACTTAAAGATTTCAAATTCAGCCTCCGGGGGTGCGTGGTTCCCGCGTACGGCCTCCTGAGGGTTCCCGGGACGAAAATCACTAGCTCGGGAACCAAGAAAGCTGGGAGGCTAAAACTTTCAGGAAATGTTCCCAACTCATCTACAA